CCCATAATAAGGAATATACCACAAGTCCCATAGTTTAGGGTCCTTAAGGTTATGCAAGATTTATATCATCAACCGTAGGGTAGAAAGCTTTAGGGTTGAAAAGGCTTCCGGGGTTGAAAAGGGCTTACGTTCTTGGAAGGGCTTTGTGGTTTTAGGTATGTAAGGGCCCAAGGCGTAGAGCTTAGAAGTTGTCTTCTTCTTCTGGTTGCGACCGAAATTTGACTTTGAAACTATGATACTTGTCGTGACGACAACCATTTGGTGAAACTGTGGTTTCGATTATGATGACTGGGAAATTTCGATCATGGTATTCTGACTGTGGTATACCGATAGTTCTCTAAATTGGGGTCCCATGCTGTGGAACCTGAAAGAAGGCGGCACCCTAATTGAAAGGGAACCTAAAAGGAACCGAACCCTAATTTAGAGACCTACCCATATGACTGCTAGTGATTTCTGACCTACACCCTAAACCCTAAACCCTAAACCTCAATCCCAACTTGGGTTCAAGGATCCAGCACCTTTACGTCTGAGAGACATCCCATAGGAAGCCCTACTGTGAATGATATAAAATCCTGCACTACTTTAAGGACCCTAAACTATGGGAACCATGGTATATTCCTTGATATGGGTAGTGCAGGATTTATATCATCAACCGTAGCAAGCCTGCCAATACCTTAAGGACCTAACGCCAAATAACTTAGACCCTAAACCGTAATGTAGGCTGGTTTTGGGGGGTTCCTTTTTGCAGTTATAGTATAATATACCCCCAAACCCTGTTCTAATCATTAAGGCCCCTAAACCATGAACCCTAAACCCTTATAGTAGCCCTTTATAGAATCCTTTAAGGAAACCTTTAAAGGAGCCCCAAAACCCTATTCTTATTATTCAAGCCCCTAAACCATAAACCCTAAACCAACACTCCGCCGAGGATCTCTGAGAGCAAGTCCAGCAGCTCTTCTTGTGCCTTCCCAAAAGCGGTTAGGGTTAGGGTTTAGGGTTTAGGGTTTTCTTATTATGCGGTTTGCTTTGACGTCGAGGTTTAATGTAGGGGCCTTACTAATTAAAATAGGGTTTGGGGGTATATTCGCCTCGGCCCCGGCCGAAGCGGTCAGAGGTTCCGATTCGGATTCCCTGAATTCCCCACCTCTTAATCCCCTATCCCTGGAAAAGGAAAATCGGGGGGGGTGCTCTGTGCGAACCCATAAATGAGCCGCAAGGTCCTGCGGTGAAATCTCGCCTCCTCCAATGGATTTGGTGGGATTCCCACCCACCGCCAGCCCCTTGCGCGCACCCCGCTTCCGCAAACCCAAAACCCAGCAAAGGCCTCTGGTTGTTTGTACGCAATCTCCTCCCCTTCCCCGGTCCTCGTCCGCTCCGCCAACGGCGCCTTCAAGGCACCAGCAGTTCGTTGGCCCTCTTTGTGTGCGGCCGGGCCGAGGCGGACGACGCGAAGCGTTTAAAATTACCCTATAATTAGTTATTAATAAGAAACCCTAAACCCTAAACCCGAAACCCAAAACCCCCAAACTACTATAGGTAATTATTAAGGCCCCTATGTTAGGGTGAAGCAGACCCTGAGATTCCAGCGCCACGATTCTCGCACCCACGGTTTCGGGATTAGGGTTTTATTTCAAACAGATGCATACGGTTGATGATATAAGTCCTGCACTACCCATAATAAGGAATATACCTTAAATGATAGGGGCCTTAATAGATAATCGTTTAAGGTATATTCCTTAATTAAGGGGTATTGGACTCTCTGGGAATATGGTTGATGATACAAATCCTGCATTACCCATAACAAGCAATATACCATAATTTCCATAGTTTAGGGTCCTGAAGGTAATGCAGGATTTATATCATCAACAGTACAGCCAAGCATTGGAGATCAAACGACTGTGCTGTTCTTGTGGTATTCGCAGTAGAGATTACAGAAGAAACTGTTGAAGTCGGTGCCGTCGCAACGGCCAGTTCTCCTGTATTTCGTGGATAACCACAAGTACGTAGAACCCTACTTATAAGCACACGTACCAAGCCTCCCGATATCCCTTCCCCTGCTCCTCAAGACTCAAAGCCCAGAACTGCTGCCTGAAGCCTTTACGCGTTATTATAGCAATCTTACAAACAACCCTTGCCTTGTGATAACCCTTTTTATGCAGCAACCCAATACAAACCCTAAACCCTAAACCCAAAAACCCTCAAGCCTAAAACCAATACTAGCCTTCAAGTCAGCATATGGGTAGTTGTCTAAATTAGGGTCCCTTTTTAGGTCCCCAATATAGCACGGCACTCTTATAAGAAGGACCCCACAAGGGACCCTAGTTTAGGGAACTACCCATATATCCTAAACCCTAAACCCTAAACCCCAAACCCTAAACCCTAACACTCTGGCCCCGTGAAACCCAAACCCCCCGTCGGCCTGCATCTTTTTCCGCCTCAGAAGGATGCTGAACCCGGTTGATATCGGGGCCTAAAACAAAATAGAATAGGGCTCCTTTAAAGGGATCCTTAAATGGGATACCATAAGGGCTACCGCAGTATAAGGGTTCTAGAATATCGGGGCCTTAATAATTAGATAAGGGTTTTGGGGTACATTATCCTTTAATTGCAATAAAGAACCCCCACACTAGCATAGGTAATTATTTAGGCCCCTATATTACTGTGTTTAAGGCTCACGGTTTACGGCATGGGGTTTTCGGTTCACGGTGCAGGGTTGACGGTTGAGGGTCTAGGCGTTCAGAGTGTTGGGTTTGGTGTTTAGGGTTTAGGACTTCGAGGAAGCTGCCCTTAGTATCTACATACTCCAAGCCTAAACTCTAAATTCCTGTCCTAGCCTACTAAAGTCCCAAACCTGACATCCCGAACCCTAAATCCCCAAATGCCTAAATGCAAATCCCTAAACCCTAAATATGCAAACCCTATATCCCTAACTCCCTAAATCCCTAAATCCCTAAATCCCTAAATCCCTAAACCTTAAAGCCCGTATAGGGAGGCCCTTCGATGGGAGGTGCATGAGTTCTCGGATGTGGACTTTCGCGTTTGGCTGTGAGGGCTTTGTGCTTGTCTGCGGCTGAGAACCGGCTGAGAAACCCTAAACCCT